CCTATGTTCTGTTTTTTATTTCGAAAAATAGAAGTTTGGCTAAATTTTTGAAAGACAATTATAAATTCCTTAACGCATCAATATTTTCATTCTGAGCAGTAAATTTTATCAGTGGAGTCTTCGACTTGACTCAGATTAATTTCCTGCTGAGGCATCAAACTGAGTTTTGTAGCGAAAAGCCGAAGTGAAGAAAAGATCAACAAGATTTGAAAAAAAGCAAAGCAAAAATTAAAATTAAAAACCTTTGCTATTGATTGTTTCATCAGCAAAGATTCTACATAATTGGGACAGGCAGGCTTTTGATAGCATTTAAAAGATCATAGCATTAGATATCATTTGACTTAACACCAAATATCTACCTGAGACTGATTTGACTTTCTTTTATTTGCCAAGTAAATCGTATCGTATTTACAGATTGGCACTGCAAAAGGCATAAATTTGATGGGAATAGCGATAGGAAATGGTGCATTGAGTCGATTTGAACAGTTCAACTCTCTAATGACCATGCTTTATTATCGAGGAATTTATGGACACGAGTAAGTTGAAAGTCCGAAATTGCAATACTTTTCAGCATTCAAGTTTCCCAGATTTTTTAAACGAGCAGAACAATGATTAGCAACTGTTTCCAAAGCAAAATCCATAAAACTAGCAAAAAACTTTTATAGTTTTAATTTTTGTTGAAGTGCATAACTTTCTGTTTTCTTCTATCAATGAAAACAGATCAGCCGTTTCTCTTGTTTATGCGTTCTGTTCTGCGGTAGTGATGCAAAAAGCATACTGTCGAGAGGCTAAGTTATGTATGTATGAGTGTGTGCATTTAGATTTTTGTCAGGTAGCATGCCGTATTCCCCAATCTAATTTCGTAAAAAAACTCCAACCCTTAGACATGAAATTATCAGTAATCTTAATGCAGTGATCTGTTGTTGCCTGACAGCAATTTCTAGGATGTTCTTCTGCGCCGCGCTCAAGTCCACTGTACAACGACTCTGACGATAAAACTCAGTCGGCAGCGAAATAGACACTTGCTCAAAGTACCGCTGGAAATTAATCCATAGGTTCCTTGTAAAAAGTGGTTCTGTGAGAGCGCTTGGCGACAACAGAAACTTTGTTCTATAAAAGCATGTGCAGCATTACAAGACTGTAGCTGTCGGAATTGATGTTATCTCGTGGTCCGACACAGCACGACATAATAACTAACATCACAGCACAAAAAGCATCTTTTAAATGTGCTGAAAAGCCGCCAAACTCTAGGCAGGAAATCTAGATACAATTTGTACAAAATAAATGGCAAGCGCGGGGAATGCCGGTGCAAAGATGCGTTTTTTGCATAGTTCCTTGCAGGTTTTTGCCGCAGGTGCTTCTAACTAAACGAAAACTGGCCGGCAGGAGTGTCAGGAAAAACTCCTCAAAATTTCAGCTTTCTAGATTTTCTGGCTCCCGAGTTAGCAACTTACCTGCAAAAAAATTCTCAGGCCCGCACATAGGAACCATGCAGTTTGAGCTCACGAACACCTAAGTGAACGGGGAACACTTCCTTAAAATTAAAAATTCCGAGTTAACAATTTACCCATAAAAGACTTTCACGAGCCTGCACGTGGGAAGCACGCACACCCAGGGACTGGGATTGAGCTTGGATGGAGAACAGCGCCCTCAAATTCCAATCCTCTAGCTTCTTAGGTTCCCAAGTTAACAATCTACCCGAAAAAACTTTCACCGGCTTGTGCGTGGAATAGTAGAATGGAAGGATTGGTCTTGAGTGTCATGCGCCAAAGGACGTTTTACTATCGCGTTAGTCTGTGTTTCATCCTTTAGCTGCACACAGACCGAATTATGCATGCGGGTAGGAGCGGGAATCGTCAGTACAGCCTCCCACCCGCCGTGTTTTGAGTAGTCATGTAACTAATTTGCAAGATGGAGAAGAGAATTGGCAAAAGAGTGAGAGAGGAAGGAATGAGGGGGAATTATCAAGTAATACAGATAATCATTATATATAATTATTAGGAAGAGGTTTTAAGAGATTAAACTGCTCACTAGTCTTTTAATATCTGAATCATCAGGGAAGATGAATTTG